CAAACACTATTGATCCCCGAAATCCTTTGTAATACCAATGTTCACTTTGTCTGGTTTTGTTGCAGCATGCCCCATATCAATATCTGTGTCATTAAGAGATGACCCAACTCCACTCATTAAGATAAAGTTGGCACTTGTCTTTGATGTTTTTCCACATCCAACATAACAAGGAATATTAATCACACCACCTCCCTTTCAAAATTGAAAATATCAGCATAAATAGGCTTATAAACCTTTAAGACATAATCATTTCCAAGTAAGTAAGCAGTACTTGTTGCGCCAGTTCCAAGTATCTCTGTCGCCTCAAATATTTTTTCTTGATATTTAATTGTTGGAAGTGAAAATCCAAGAAGTTCTGATGTTGATAAACAAAAGTGTGCAAGATAATGGGATCCAACTTTTCTAAATGGAAGGATACCAGTTATATAGAAATAGGTATCATTATTTTCAGTCAATACAGCTTTAATGAATTGAATATGATGACAAGTTGTCAAATCCCTGTTGCCTCCTTGTGATCTAGGTTTAATTGTAAAAGTGTTTCTAGAAATTGACATAACTCTGCAAGAGATGTGGCTTTCACCCATTCATCCTCTTTTTCAGTGACTTTGATCTCTAAAACAGAAACAATATTGATATTTGAGATGGCTCGATCTTGCAAATAGAAGATAATATCTGGTTTTTGTCCCTTAAGAATAGGTTTCTGGTGAGTATCTACATGTTTCAGTTGCATGCTTGGGTATTTGGAAACAAAAATATCCAGCTTCTTCATAAGATAATGTTGATAGACTGTTTCTAATTTGCTTAAACTTTCTTCTTCTTGAATAAGTTTTGCATCTGCATAGCTTGGAACATCTGAAAAATCAAACCCATCATGTGCAGTATCTTTTTCCTCTGTTCAGGAATTGAAAGATGATTATTTTTCACTCTAGTTTCATAATAATGTGAAAGAATCATCAATGACTAGTTGTTTCTGTAATTTTGATGGTGTTGATGATGAGTAACTAAATTTTCTCTTGAAATGGATGGCTTCTGAAATAAATAGAAATGGAAATAGGAAATATCATTAATATTTCACTATACAAGCAATGTAATTTAATGTTAAACATGGAATGGAATGAATAAAAAATAATTTTTTTTATTTTTTTACACAATTACCCTCTCCTTTTTCTTTATTGAATTTGGTTAATTCTTTTTGTAAATACCGCATCTGCTCTCCACATTTCTTCTTATCCTCCTCCAACTCTTTCTTTCCCTTCCAATATTCCTTTTTCGCCAACATACATCTCTGGCTCTCCTTCTCTTAACTTCTCCAGCCTTTCCAACTTCTTCTCTATCTTTCTCAACCTCTCCTTTACTTCTTCTAACTCTTTTTCAATTTTTTTGTATGTCGCCATCTTGTAAAAAAAAAGATTGTAAAAAATTAGCTTTATTAATTTTTTTTTATTTGATTTTAGATTGTAATTATTACAATTAATTGTTTCTATAATTTCGACCAATGATAAATTAGTGGCACATGACTTGGAATTTATTGACAAAAGAAATTAATTCAAGTAATAATGGAAAAATACATAAATGACATAAAAAAGTAAGTTAAAAAAAATTGTCAGAGCACTTGCATGGAAGGAAAAGCATTCGGACCAAAAGCCATTGTTAACAAAAATTCAACCTTCACTTATTACATTTGCATAAAGGAAATTTTTTTTTGTATATTAATATATGGGGTAGACTGCAACAAAACCAGACAAAGTGAACCAGGAATTTCAGGGATCAAATTTAACATCACTATTTGCATTATTATATATTAATATTAATATCAATTTGATATTGTTTTATTTTTATTTTTTTTAGCAATATATAAAAACTATTCTTATATATAAAAATATAATACGCGATTATAAATTAAATAATATATTTTTGTGATAACAGATAATAATAAAAATATCTGATTTTCAATATAACTTTTCTAAAAACCATTCCACTACACGAATTCTTCAGACTAATTAGAGACCCCGACCAGTTCCTATTTAAGCAATATTTTTACTTGTGGCGTATCTGGAAGTTTGCGAATATAAGACATTTGTGTAGGTGGTGTAAATTGATCACTTCGATATTTGAAATTCTTTGAACGCGTTCCTGCCATTACAAAGAATGAAATTTGTGAGCAAAAATGTATCATTATAAGCTTAAAAAAAACATGGCATATACCTCCAAAGCAACGAAATGACTTATCGCGAATTCTGCTAACGGAATTGCAGATTTGTCGACTACCACCTTTGTTTTGAGAAACAGCCAGGAACGGTATAAACCGTCAAATTTTAGATCCATAATAAAGGATTCCATCGAATCACCTGATTATTGTAGAAACATAATTCATAAGAAATAATAATAAAACTTGTAATTTATCGAAAGCATATACATACCGAGGTTTAAAAATATAGCACTTTCGCCTGGACCTCCCTTTCTTTCTAATTGTTGGTTTATTGATTTTCTCCCTTTCAATTGAGCTTTCAACCTATCCTTTTTTCCTTGTAATGGTGTGAAACCCAATGGCTTAAACTCTGAGTTTAAGATTGCCACACCATTCACTAAACACGAAAGATCGGGTCTTGTTTTTGATCTTGCGGTGGCACGATTTAATCCAAGTTCATATTCTTTTTCGGGTCGATGAAACGAACGAGTAATTGGATATATGAACATATCACAATGTTCCTCCTCGGATAGCTTTGATGGGGCAACTTCCGGAATACTATAATATCTGTAATGTGTTAAAGAATTTATGTAAGTCACGAATTCACAGATAACAAAAAACATATCGTAAAACAAGTACATCAGGAAAATTTTTGCACAATTTTCCTGATGTAAACTTACAGATTATTGAACATGGATGCGACTATTCTGTTCAATTGAGATTTTACACTATCCATAAAAACGTCTCCGCCAACCAAGTGTCTACCAGCGGTATCACGAAGAGATGATGAAATCTCCAGTGTAAGTGGTGGTTCATTTATGTTGTAGGGATTAGTTTCCATTATCTCTTTCCATTCTTGATTAGTGAATATTGAGTATGGACATGGCCAACAGAGCACTATAATGGATGATAAAGCCCTGAATACAATAAGGAAAAAAGATGTTTTGATATATCTCAGTATGGTCATTGTGCTAGTCAAATGTTATATGTTCAAAATACTTACAGAAGTTCGTAAATATTATCATATTTTAAACCTTCTCTCTGTGCTTTCTTGAGAATATCTTTTTGATACTGGCGAAATCTATCTGTTATACAAGTACAACCAACTTCCCACTAAAAAACAGAAGTAAAATTGAGATATACAAGAAATAAAGAAATCAATATTTGAGATGTATATATACCTTAGCTTTTGGTTCACGCTTCAACTCTATTGAAATGTTTTTTAGATCAAATTTAATTTCTTCGTCGTTGTCTTCAAGCTCTTTATTAATATTATCAGAAGGGGGAAAAAACTCGAAGGAAAAATTTTCACTATTGTTTCTTAGTTGTAGATTTTCTGCATTAGGATCATTCGTCTCACATTTTGTCTGAATAGAAAATACACATGGGAATTTTATTTTCCCTCAACTTTATCACCTATAAATTTTTCTTTACCTTTTTACTTGAAATATTTTCTTCAATGTCAGCTTTATTTTCTCGCTTACGATGATAAGTTGGTGGTAATTTTATGTCTTCAATTACTTTTTCATTTGCGTAAGAATATTGAGTAGTATCATAATTAATATTATTTTTTTCCGATAATATTTCTCGTTTTGGTTCTTCGCTAAGAAAAAATTTATTTGATTTGTATTATTTTATATAAAACTAGAGTGACGACGAGTGGCGGGCGATAACCATCACCATCCTTAAAACACTTACCCTTTTTCTTCGGCAATAGCCTTGGAGTGGTTTTTTCTTCTTTTAGTTTGATTAAACATTTTTCAAAAAAAAAAAGTATTATTATTTGATCGACGTGTACACATTAATTATTTATCCTATTGGTTTTTTTTGGTAGGACAGACGCGAATTGATTTTTTTCTTTTTTTTGGAAAAACAATTTATTTTTTGACAGAGTCCAAGGTGACAAAACGTGAGTGTTGTTTGGTTTGGTTTGGTTTAGATCTCCTAAAGAAACGTGTTAATAACTAACCAGAGGTACTATTTTTTATTTGTATTGATATAATGTGGTGTCTTTTATTTTATATAAATATTTTAATTGGAATCAAAACGCGGAACAGATCTTGCTGGGTAATTACAAGATTTTCATTGATAATATTTTGCTTTGCGTAATCATTAATAATACTATTATTATTAATATATAATTACAAGATGATGTCAAGGCAGCAGACCGTTTAAAAAGAAACGTTTTGAGTATGCGAAGTTTGATTATCAGAAATTTTAGAGACATTGAAGCACACACGCTACCTCGAACACTTTACAGTCATTCTCTCACCTTCCTCGTGTACACAAGGCTAATCTGACCAAGATTCTCCCGATGATACAACGATGCTACAGAATTTCAGGGGGGAGCCACATGGTCCTGGAGTTTACCGAGACCGCATCAATCGTCAATGACATTTTCACTAATCTTCCCAGACCAGAGATGGTTGCTGGCATGCTGGTCGAAAATTTGCCTGCAATGATCCCACTTCTAGGGCAAGGATGGCTCTGTGACCAAGTCGCAACTCTGGAGGAATATTAAGAGAATCCGCAGCTTGTTCAAGCACAGGAGGTCACAATTCAGAGCAGGGTTGGTGACCCTGAAATTGCATTTGGACTCTGATGTTAGGAGGGAAGTTGTAAAATAGTGTTTGTTTTGTATAATCACTTTCATAAATTCTCTGTTTTTCTGATAACTAACCAATTTATAGTTTTGGTAAGGGGACTGGATTGGGTTTTTGCCCAATCAGTCCTCTGTTGTATAGATTAAAATTATCACACAATTATACACATCTTTGTCAGCAATATGGCCAACAAGAAAAAAGTCATAAAATGGTTTGGATTTTGTTTGGTATGTTTTGTATAAATTAAACGTTCCCATAAATTTCCTGCTTCTCTTTAATTTTTATTTGGCCAACTGAACTTGTTATTTTAGTAAATGGGGGTACACCTTTGAGATATACCAGCCAAACTCATAGAAAAGGATCTTTTGTCCAGGCTTAGGGTCACATGGATGCTAAGCACAGAAAATGTACACTATCAATGTATATTTTTTCAATAAGATAAACATTTAAATAATTAATTGTTAAATATTAATACTTTTTCTTTTCATAAAAATTACAGCAACCCACTCTGAATTCAGGGAAAATCCAAAACAACAATCCAGGTTGTAACCTCTGAGTTGCTGAATTTTCAAGCCATTCTTAACACCAACTTTATGCTAGTGTGGCAATAACACAAAGCAATCATTATAAATGTCAACTCCCATCAGCAATAAATGCCCATATGGGAACAGCCAAGCCTAGTCTGAGGGGAAGATAAGGGAATGTTTTGTCCAAAGCCTTCCAACTTGTTCAAATCACTTTCACCTGTGGAAAAAATTCCATGGTGCTGAATGGTGCTTAATTGCACGAAGTTTGCTTGTTTGTGATAGGAAATATTAATTAAATCTGACACCTGCAATCAACATCAGATTTATTATTCATGAGCAACCATAATTGATAATCAGGAAAAATAATTTATTTTGTGAACCCCAGAGATCTGGGTAGACAGGCATTATTAAAAGTTTCATTTTTGCATGGCCTTGGTATCATTACTACCTGGGTGATGCAATTGTTTGTTATGTCAATGATGATATCAAATGTATTGAATAATAATCA